CCCGCTTTTCTACTTAGCACTCAACGGTCACTCTTACCTAGTAGATAGGAAGCTACAAAACAAGGGGCTTAAGAAGACTGTGGAGCATTTTAGATTCAAAGGGGAAACCATGCTGCAGAATATGCCAGGACCCAAGGGTGATAGGAAGCAAACTAGGTGCCTCCATAGCATCAATGGGCAACCCCTTAAGGGTCTTCAAACTTGGCCACTTGAAGACTTGTGGACTTCAATTCCCAGAGTTCCTCAGCCAGCCAGGGCTGGCTGAGGAACTCTGGGAATTGAAGTCCACAAGTCTTCAAGTGGCCAAGTTTGAAGACCCCTGCCTTAAACCAAACACATCTTTTCCCACAGTCATGCAGCAGCTGGGAAAAGATGCAGCAGGTATGAGGAACTACCAGCAGGTGCTACAGGAATGCAGGCTTGTGCTTTCAAGCACCCCTTTTCCTCCTCCCCCCCATCTTCAAATCTAATGTGTTGCATGCCTAGTGCCCAACTGCCCTTCCAAAGAACACCTTATAACAGCGAGATTGTTCTTCTCGTGAAAAGCAATTTTGAACCTGTGAACGTCTACGGAGGTTCTCCATCATCCAGGTCCTGGTTGTCCCAAAGATGCTTTTTTCCAAAAGGCAACTGGGACTTCTTTTTTTTTCCTTTGAAAATGTTTTGCCTCCGAAGTTCTGAAGAAGCTTCCTGGATGAGAAGAAGTGCGACATTTTCAAAGGAAAACAAAAACAAAAACATCCAGTTGCCTTTTGGAAAAAGCATCTTTGGGTGAACCTATGAATGTTTCTATCATTTTTCTAACCAATGCTCTGCCTTCTTCTATCTTTTTCTTCCTTCCCTTCTTTTTGCTGTTGATTTCTGGCAACTGCCTGCATGAATCCCTGCAGTTTTCTTGGAAACATTTTCAGGAACATTTTGCCCTTGCCTACTTCTTCCTAGGGTTGAGAGAGATACTGTCCAAAAGTCACCCACCAGCAGGTTTTGTGCTTTCAGTAGGACTAGAATTCACAGCCTCCTGGTGCCTTAACCACTGCACCTGGTTCTCTTCCTCTGATATATCGTAGTAGGTCTTCTTTTCTAACACTCAACACATTTCGGAAACAAGAAGCGCCATGTTTAGTTCTTAGCCTGCCTGAGACCAAACGACAGTGACAAATCAGATCGATGCTACAAAACGAAACGGGGAAAAAAACAACATTTTCCCTAACTGTTAAAATAATTTCCGTCCCTTTTCATCAAAGTCAAAATAATACTTCTACAGCTCTTGCTGTGCAGCTTTGGTACAACAGCTGCTCTGCAGCTGGAGACTCCTGTTCACACACTAACAAAATAAATTATAAATCTCCTGCACATTGAAAATGGGAGGCTAGATATTGTTGATCCATTACAAACCGACCAGGATTACCATAATAAAACTTGGAAATGATGTGATCTTCGCCGCACAAGTGGAGAAAGGAAATGGGTGCTGTTGTTTTTTTTCTTTCCCTTCCCAGCATCAGAGAAAACAGCCGTGAAATCTGGGATTGAGCTCCAAGGTAAGCAGAATCCCCGAAGGAACACGGAATCTCAGAAAATGAGGATCTTATATATACCGGTATATATATATATATATATATATATATATATATATATATATATATATATATATATATATATATATATATATATATATATATATATATATATATATATATATATATATATATATATATATATATAAAACAGTGACTCCTGGGTGTGATCATCTTTCCAAAAACAAACTGTGAACACCAGGAGTATATCAAACTATACAAAGTTTAATAACATAAAACATAAAACAAAACTACACCAAGCTTTCGTCGGACTCCTTCCGACTTCGTCAGGGTTACGTGCCAGTCCATGAGACTCTCTCATGGACTGGCACGTAACCCTGACGAAGTCGGAAGGAGTCCGACGAAAGCTTGGTGTNCTGGGACCGGTGACGAGGTCCAGAAGCCGGGCGCAGATGATGGATGGCGTATAAAAGAGACTCTCTCATGGACTGGCACGTAACCCTGACGAAGTCGGAAGGAGTCCGACGAAAGCTTGGTGTAGTTTTGTTTTATGTTTTATGTTATTAAACTTTGTATAGTTTGATATACTCCTGGTGTTCACAGTTTGTTTTTGGATATATATATATATATATATATATATATATATATATATATATATATATATATATATATATATATATATATATATATATATATATATATATATATATATATATATATATATATATACAAAGACCTACACACACACACACACACACACACACACACACATATATATATATATATATAGCTTAGCCTCACATTTTGATAGTAATAAATAGGAGTTCAAAGGAGGGGTGGGGGATGACAACTCTGACCTTTTCAAACCGTGCGTGTTTAGCAACTGCACGGAACATCACCAGATGTTTAATGTGTGCTCAACAGATTCCTGAGTAATTGTTCAGAAGATCATCAAACAACTTTAGCCTCAGAACCTTAAAGATATTAAAAAACCTTCGCCTGGGCTGTTTTTCTCAAACAGCCTGGCTTTCATGTAGTGTGGTTCATGATGAGGGGCTTAAAAAAGTAGCACACTTTTTAAAACAATCACCCCTTCAACCTAAGCAATCCTTCTTGAGAGGAAGGCAGTCACTTCCAGAATTCCCCAGCCACCATGGCTACTGCTGAGGATGCTGGAGTGCCCAAAAACCGCCTAGGTTTTGGGAGAGCTGGTCCTGATGAATGCCTTGCTATGCCGTTTCTATCAAGCCGGTTGGTAGCGCGGAGACAAAATAAGTTTGTTTCAAGCTAGTTAAAGATAGAATACAGCCTGCTGAAGACACAGCCCTAGTTATATGGCCAAATCAACTTATTGAAGACTCCTCTGTAGGAATCCAGAAGAACTACCTAACATGGCACATCATGGTCTATCAGTGTCCTTTCCTGATGAAGAATTCCCTGTAGTTTTATGATTGGTGTCTCAAGACAGTCTCCAAAAAGTAATTGATTTCTGATAGAAGAGAGTGTTTGTAGCTCATGGTTGAACTGTGGGGTCCTTGGTGCTCTCTGAGCTCGGTGGTTTTCTTGAAGACATTTCATTACCAAATTAGGTATCATCATTCAGTGCCCAGTGATGCTGTTACGTACTTGGGTAACGAAGTATCTGCAAGAAAACCACCAAGCTCAGAGAGCATCAAGGAGCCCATAATTGACTTTTGTTACAACAAATAATACATTTGATCCTTCCCCAGACATGTTTTTAAGTAGTTTTCCAATTCTGCGGTCCTCCACTAATAAATCCACCATGGATTTTATTCATCTAAAATATTTATATGCTATTATTCACATACTTCTTTTCCAGACTTTAAGCTATGTTGCTTTCCATGGGTCATACACAGCAGCATGGGCAACAGTGAGAAATGATGGGAGTTGTAATCCACCAATCTCTGGAAGGCTGCAGGTTGTCTAATCCAACCAGGGAAATACACCATCTTTGGATTTAGGCTACGCACACAATTTGTGGAGAAAATGTGTTTTTCCTCTCCATTTTTTTTAAAATGGTGTTTTTATCAACAACATTTCAGTGCGTTTATTTCCTTTGAAAATCCATCATGTCTCCCCAAATGTGCACAAACCCTCATGTGGTTAATTGGATGCTGATTGCGAGGCTATTTTTAATCCTGTCTAAATGACATGACAGAGGCCAAGAGATGTACAAGTTGTGAAAAGAGAATAAAAATTACCCAGGCAAATTCGTTTTCGAATATTAGCTGAAAAATCACACTTCCAGCCTAGCCTTTCCCAAACTCTCTTACAGATGGCGAGTCTTGGAATTGCTATGTTTCAGGGACAAATGGATTTATTTCTGATTCAGCTATTGGGTATTTGAATTTTAACTTCAGGTTTTCTTTGCAGTGCTCCATGATGATGCGTTTGCAAATAGTCTGTTTCTCCATTTGGAGGACCTTTTATTTCATACTCCTCCCATCTTTGGAATTGGCAAAGCATTTCCTAGAACGGGGGTAGGGAACCTTGGTTCTTTTATGACTTGTGGACTTCAGTACCCAGAATTCCTGAACCGGCCATGCTGACTCAGGAATTCTGGGAGTTGAAGTCCACAAGTCATAAAAGAACCAAGGTTCCCTACACCCCTGTTCTAGGAAACGCTTAGATAATTTTTTGTGTATACTCCGATAAATACATAAAGCATGGAATAGAAAAGACTTCTGTAGTCCAAGGCTTCAAGCAATTTATTAGCCGTGATGGCACAGTGGTTAGAATGCAGTACTGCAGGCTAACTCTGCCCATTGTCAAGAGTTTGATCTTGACTGGTTCAAGATGGACTCAGCTTTCCATCCTTCCGAGGTCGATAAAATTGAGGACCCAGATTGTTGGGGGGCAATATGCTGACTCTGTAAACTGCTTAGAGAGTTCTATAAAGCATTATAAAAGTGGTATATAAGTCTAAGTGCTAGTGCTATTTTATTTCTCATTTGCCCAGATTGGAGATGAGAGAAGTTTGTCCAGTGCATGGTGTCTCTTGTTCCTGTTCTGAATGGAGCAAAGTTGATAGCAGAAAAGCTGGTTGTGCCTCCTCTTCAAACTGCTGCTGAGCAGTTGAGAACGGTTCACTGCACACCCATCCAAGACCGTGCCGTCAGGTTGAACAGGACAATCTGCTCAATATGAGCAAAAGGGCAGTTGATTTACTAATTACACTGGCAAATTTCAGGGAGCCTTTGGAATGCAAATTTCTATAAAGACTTGCATAAATTGGGAAAAAGAACCTCAGCTGTAAAAGCATCCGCTCATTTAGATGACATGAAATTTACTTATCTTTTCATTCTCCCCTCCCGAACCCCTTATTTGTAAGAATTCTCAAGAACCGCACCGTTGTTTTCTCTGCCATTTGAATTCCAGGTGGCATTTATTTGTCAGTGAAAGTAAAGGTTCTGCCACTATCATTTGCATATTCACACAGTAACATTAAATGGAACAGTCAAAGGGCGACCCATCCTCCTGAAATAAACTAGAAATGTACTCCTTGATTATGAAACCAAAATAAAAGCCAAGTCCTGAATGCTGCCGTGCTAATTTTGGACAGCATGTTTAGGTAAATACTAATTGAACACATTGCTAAATAACTTAAACACCTGTTCTATTGCAGAAATCATTTATTTTCCCACCAAGAGTCTCTTTGGCATCTCTCTGAAATCTGATAGCGCTCTGAAAAGTTAACAAAGGTTTTTCTTCCAAGGGGTAGGATGATGATGAATGTGATTTCATCGAAACGTCGCTATGACACTTCTAATCTTACACGGGAGAAAACCCGAATGACCAAAGACTCACATATAAACACAAAACCTCCCACAATTAAGAGCAGGGCAAGAATGAGCAATTGGCAAAGCTTTATTGACCAAGCAGAATCAAAATAAATGATTTTGTTTTGTGCGCATTTCAAAATCTTCATGCAAATCACAGAGAAGAAGTAGATACAGTTATCTATTTGCTTCTGTGTTAATAATCCACCACAAGGTTGGAATGCCCTGTAGCAAAGACATAGGGATGTAGGATTCAATCCAAAAAAAAAGGAATGATAGACTAGCCAAAAAAAAAAGAAGAAATCCTGAAGGACAAAATACTCAACTGGTAAAGCACATCATAACCCTCTTTCTTCAAAGACAATTAGATCTAATTAGCATCTTTTTAATCCAATCCACAGTAGTACGAAAACAACTCCTGTTCATCAATGAAAGGAATATTAAATATTCCAGCAATTATCATATGACCCTAAAGAAGTGTTTTAAAGATTCTGAAAGCTTCTTTAGCAGGTCAGTTTGGGAAATATTCCACTGTCTCTTAGTAACTCTCTAAATGTAGAATTTTAGTGATTATTAGTAAAAGGAAAAAAAAAATCAGCAGCAGCTATTGGTGCTCTTTCTACTCCTTTGTATTCTTATTAGCGTTAACATACTTCACTGAGGCATGGTACAAATCAGAAGGAAACCCAATAGTTATGCAATTCGGTCCCATAAAATGAGTTCTTAACTTAACGGCCAACCTTATAAAGCCGATATTTATAATACAAATCAAACTCAACAGTCATAAATATTTAAAACAACACCCCATGAAAGAGCAGAACACACGTATTCATAATTAATACAAAGCAAATATTAACTTGAAAAACTTCGAACTTAATTAGAGGAGAGTAAAACAAACGGGCCCCATTCTAATATACTGGTCAAATAAAAAAAAATTGTTTTTAAAGGTCATCGGAATTTGACAGAAGTGACCATAAGAAGAGAGTTGATCCCCCAGCCCTAGGACAATGTCCCTGATGCCAGGAAGCCTGCAGATGGGGATGGAGAACAGAGAGAAGACCCTGCCCAGCGGAACATAAGGAACAAATAGGATTGTAGGGGAGAAACATGGGTCAACAGATCAAGGAACGTTGTAACCAAAGCATTAGAAGTTCAAACAGCTTGAACAGGGAACCAACATAGAGTCCTGCAATGTAATAAAATATGAGAATCACCTGGAAGGTCTAGAAAGGTCCTGCTCTGGACTAGGATTAAGGCTAGAGAGAGGACACCTACCACGTGACCACTGTAATAATCTTACAAATCAACCAATGCATGTTCAATGAAGCTATGTTCCCTCCCATCTATACCCATCTCCTGATCCTGCGGACCTGTATGAGAACTTGCTGATTATCAGACCAGACCCCAAGACCACAGGCAGAGGAAACTGGGACAACCTAGGAGCAGGGGATCCAGTGGGGGAAAAACACAAACAAGGATGGAAAGACCATTTTTGTGTTATGCAACTTGAGACTAAGACAAAATGCTCCTTTTCTTACTTGGTTGACTTCATTTGGGAACCTGGGGCCACATTGGTGATGGCCTCTGTGGGAGGCGATATCGGTATTGGACACACATACCTTTGGATCCATTCTGAGGAAGTTGTGTGGACCCCTGCTGCTGAACGTTGATCTTTTAATGGTCTTGCTGTGATGGAAATGATAATAGTCTTCCAGGCTCCCAACCTATAACAATCGATGTACAAAAACAAGTCAGGAAACTAACCAATTCAAGCATTCACTTTCTTCAAGGTATGGAGGAGCTACAGAACATATTGAGATGGAATATTTTTTTGATACCTCCCATTAGCCTTTCTCGACTTTGTGATCTTCAGGTCTCTCAATGGTAGAATTACCAGACCGCATCGACAAACAATTATAGCTGTGCTAGTGTATGGAAATGAATGTGGGGTGAAAGTTTTGTTGTCCTTAATAGGAGCAGCACAAAAGAGTTTGTGAGATTTTTAATTCTCCAAGAACAGAGGTCTACACCAGTGGTTGTCAACCTGCAGGAGGCCACGATGTCATCACAGGGGGTCAGTGAATTGTTTGTTAAGCCTAGTGCTCTAAATCTTGAGTTTTCTTGGGGGCCGGTGGCCACAAAAGGTATTTTAAAGAGGGTCGGTGGTGAAGAAAAGGTTGAGAATTAGAATTGTGTAGACTGGTCTACACAATTAGCATGTAAAATTTTTTGAGATTGAAACAGTTGTTTCAAATTCAAAAGAATCTGATCTGGCCTCATCGGATGTAATGGTATGTGTGGAAGACCTTGAGAGACGGAGCAAAGAAATGCTATTTAGCGAACGGTCCGATAAGAGAAGACATAACCCACAGATGCACAATGGGTGGAGAAAGAGGCCAAGAAGGGACCTCCCATCAGCTTTTCAGGTTGCCAAAGAGATGGCAGGAGATTTATACTTTCAGACTTGCAAGATTTTGTCAATGTGTCCTTACAATAAAATAGAATTAGCTCATTGGGTTGTATTTCCTGTCTGGTCTACCCAGGAAGGGTGACACTGGATGTATTCCAGGGCTGTTCCAACTTTTCCAGAAACATTTCAAATGTTTCAAACAGCACTGTTTCCAGTTTTAAACTGAATTTGAAAGGGTCCGTTTTGAGCTTAAACCTTTCTAGGATGATTGGTACAGCACTCAAGCACTTTCTGACAGAAAGTGGCCTCGAAGTTTGAACATAATATTTCAAGTTTGAATCTTCTCAAATTCTCAGTGTTCTGCATATTATAATGCAAAAAGGTTTAAGCTTGAAGTGCCCCATTTGGGGCTCAATTTGAAATCCAATAAACTATCCCAATCTCCTAGGCTATGTTCCGATGACATCCCAATATTTTGAACTAAAAGCTTACGGTGACTTTCAGCTTAGAACGTTAAACCGTCATTTTGCACACTTCTAGCAAGGTTGGAGCAGCATTTGAACGTGACCTCTGAAGTCAGAACAGCTCGTCTTGAATTTGAATATTTTGAATTTTTGGCACCCAAAAATAAAAGGATGGGGGAGAAAGAAGACCAAAATCAAGCCCAAACTCATAACCAGTTTAAAGCTCTGCAGTTTAAAACCAGGAAAATTTAAGATGCTTGTGACCACCCAACAGCCTTAACCACATCAAGTAAAGACTTGGTAGATAATTCACAGATATTTTAGGCTTGGTTATTGACAGGCTTAATTAAGTTCAGCTCAACATGCTTGGTTAGTTAATGGTTCAATCTCTTGTGCAAACTAAGAAAATTGATTAAACGAAGAGCACCAGATTAAGGTGTTGTGTGAACACAGGTGACATGTACCCCCAATACATTTGGCAGGAGATCTGATTAGGAAAAGCTTCCTTTAAATAATGGAAGACCTGATTAGGCATGATTGATTAATTGTATGCCATCTACTCATTTTCAACTGCTAGACACCACAAAGATTAAGCATGATTATTAGACTTATATTTAGCCAATGTTTTTTTTTAAAAAAAGGTACCTAATATTAATTTAATATATCTTAGGTGACAAGAATTTGAACTGAAATATTTATTTAGTAAAAAGATCATACAATGAAATATGCGTAATGAGATTTAATTCCTACATGGAGACAAATACAAAACTGTACCTATAATATCCTGGCAACCGTCATAAAGATTTAAAGAGAGTGATAGAAATCTAATTGTAGTTCCCTTACTAAAGGAGAAATAGCCTCCATCCGACAGAACAGATATTAATAGAAGAAAATATTTGTAGCTTAGGGTTAAATTGTGGAATTCTTGGTGCTTCTGAGCTGTTTGCAAAGAAACAACCAAGCTCAGAGAGCACCATGGATGCCACAAAATAGATCTCTTTCTTCTACACAATCCTCACCCTTATTCTTTTATAACCCTTCATGTTCCTTCCACCCATTTTTTTTCACAAAGTTGAAAGTGCAGGGGGTGAGGAGATAATGGGGAACATCTACTCTGCAAAGAGAAGCCCCATCATCTTCATGCCTTCATTCGTGAGAAGCCCAATCATCCTCATGCCCTTCATTCATGAGAAGCCCCATCATCCTCATGCCTTCATTCTTGAGAAGCCCCACCATCTTCATGCCTTCATTCATGAGAAGCCCCACCATCTTTATACATTCATTCATGAGAAGCCCCACCATCTTCATGCCTTCATTCATGAGAAGCCCCACCATCTTCATGCCTTCATTCATGAGAAGCTCCACCATCTTCATGCCTTCATTCATGAGAAGCCTCACCATCTTCATGCCTTCATTCATGAGAAGCCCCACCATCTTCATACATTCATTCATGAGAAGCTCCACCATCTTCATGCCTTCATTCATTAGAAGCCCCACCATCTTCATGCCTTCATTCATGAGAAGCCCCATCATCTTCATACATTCATTCATGAGAAGCCCCACCATCTAAAGTTGAGCTTCTTCAATAGCATCTGCTTGCCATATATTAGTTGTTTAAACTTTGGTCTTGAGCATTGAGAATTCTTAAAATGTGTGTTTGCAGCGCCTTCTCAAGATTCTCTGTGAGCCACATAGAATCCAGAGGTATTTACAGAAATACCTCATGTCAAGTCGCTAAAAGCCAACATTTTGTTTGGAAGCATTTCTAATAGCCTAATTTTTCAAATCGCCAAGGAATTATTGGAGAACGAGCTATTTTCTCTCTGGGCACTTCTGTTCCACTGGCAGGATTACCTGTCCCAGCTTGACTGCATATTCATTTGCAGAGCCTCAAAAGATCAGTTCTGCTACCGCTTTTAAGTTAATCTCCTCGGATTGTCTAGAACTGACTCCCACTGGAACCAAGATAGAGAGAGACGCACGGTCCATCTGTCTAATCTTCTGGTGAAAGGCTTATGTGAATAGATAAACTAAACATTTTCGCCTCTTACGAGAAAAATGAGCCAACTGAAATGGGGGGAAAAAGTAATTCAGCGCTTAATACAACCTTTGTTGTTTCCCAGCTCTGTTCTAGCAACAAAATCTGCTTCACCTGAAAAATGGCTACCAAAATTTTAAAGCAGGAAGACAGTGGAATCAAAATTTTCAGAAAACCATCTGCCCTTAACAGTTGCATCCATCTGAGAAGAAGCTAAAGACCATGATTATTTTGCTGGTGCTGCAAGGATATGCACATTTATTCCAAGAAAATGAGTTGCAAAAAGCAAGCAGCCCACTACTCGTAGAAACATTCATGTTTCCCAGGTCAACAGCTGCAAAGGCAATCACTGGAAGCCTCCAGATCAGGGGTCTTCAAACTTGGCCCTTTTATTTATGACTTGTGGACTTCAACTCCCAGAATTCCTCAGCCAGCGTGCCTGGCTGAGAAATTCCAGGAGTTGAAGTCCACAAGTCATAAAAGGGCCAAGATTGAAGACCCCTGCTCCAGATCATTTAAGGTTTGAAACAATGTCATCACAATCCCAAAAGTGCTTTCTCCAAAAGGCAATTGGACTTTCTTGAGTTGTTTTTTTCCTTTGAAAATGTTTAGCTTCTCATCCAAGAAGCTTCTTCAGTTTGGAAGAAGAACTGAGAACTGAAAAAAAGCTTCTTGGGTGAGAAGTGAAACATTTTCAAAGGAAAGAAAACCAAGAAAGTTCAGTTGCTTTTTGGAAAAAGCACCTTTGGGACAACCATGACCTCGATGATTGAGAATCTCCATAGCCAAATGTCATCACAACTTTATGTGATGGAGAGGAGAGGGAGAGGGAGAGGGAGAGGAGAGGAGACCCCAGTTTGGTCAAGTTAGAAATATCACCAAATCCACAAGGTTCTGTAGAGGTGAGCACTCTAGGGAAGGATTAGATCCACTAAAACTGCAGGGTTATATCCATTTCCCAGGAAACACGTTTCACTGAAAACCATGAACCTTAATTTTGATTGAAGGTGCATCAGACTGCATTATAGAACTCGTATGATTTATTTATTGGTAGATTTATATCTTGCTATTTCCTTTAGAAGCTCAAGGCAGCAACCCCAGACTTCCTTCTTCCAATTTTTCTCCTCTACCACCTTGTGGCAGGCTGGGCTGAAAGAGAGTGACTAGCTTAAAGTCACTCAGTAGGTTTCCGTGATGGGACTCTGGCTTTCTGCATAAATCTATATCAGAATAAATACAACACTCCTACAAAAGGAAAACAGATATTTCATTTATACAGTATATATATATATAATGAATGCACATGTCATAACAGGTTTCACCTTCATATACTCCTGTGGGCAGAAGGAGGTAGATGAAAGATGGAATTACGTAATGCATGAAAGTACCATTTGTTTAGCCATCAGCTAAACCACAATGGATTGAGTTCACACAACACACTAAGGTTTAGGCATTGGTTTCCTATAGCATGCAAAGCAAAACGTAAACAAACCAAGTTAGCACAATGGGCAAACACAGTCACGTTGACGGTTTATAGCATCCTGGAGAAAAGGTAGTCAGGGAAACGTTTTAACACACACATGCACACACACACACCTTTAGGGGACACATAGCTGTGTTCCAATATTTGATGGGGTCAAACAATTTTCCAAAGCATCAAAAGGCAAGACAAAAAACAATGGGTGGAAAATAATCAAGGAGAGAAGCAACCTAGAATTAAGGAGAAATTTCCTA